CAACACTTGAGTGAGAAACTAGAAGGCTGGCAGAGGTAACAGGGTTTGCTGATAAAAAATAAATCTCCCAGTTTATCTGCAAAGTCATGTACCTAGTAACCTCACCACTCGATCCCAGGCACACTGGATGGCATGGCATGGAGTAGAGGAGCACAAAGGAGGGAGAAGAAGCTGCTAGAGTGAGTCCATGCATCAGGCGTCACACTGTCATGACAGCTTACCCGCCACAGCTCCAGAGAGCACACCACTGAAACCTGCAGTTCAGCACACAAGAAGTCACTGGAGCTATAATTTATTCTTTGCTCTGGCCCCAGTTTAGCAAAGCTGCTAAGCGCCTGCCCAATTGTTTGCAGGATCAGAAGCAAAAGTGAAATTAAATTTTTCAGTGGTCTATATACTACATGTTACGGGGAGCAATTTTAAAGCAAAGACAAGACCCAAATTTATTTTTTTTCTCTTGGTTATCAGAGCCTATTCTAAACTATTCCTCTTATGGCACCATTCATAATATTTGACTAACTAGCCGTCTGTGATATGAATGTGTTTTCAGGTTGTGCACTTTATTTTAGGGGCTCTTCATGTACCTGTTACAGCATGAAAAGAGCAGAACACTGGCACTGGATGTCCTCTGAGCGCAAAGGTGACCTTTTGTTTGCTAGCAGCTGATGGAGTTGCCTACAGGTGAGATAAACAACAGAAGAAACCATTTGTATAATAACATATCTTTTTAAAGAAAAACATAAACATCTGTAATTTCTCAGACCATTACAAATGTATGTTTAATGTCTCCCTAACATCTTCTCTCCACTACGCCCCCAGAAATTAGCTCACCTTCCATGAGGTATTTTATCTTCCCAAGCAGCACGTCAGGGCAAGCCTCAGCATTCCCCTGAACCAGGCTCACCCAGTGGCTAGGTCCCAGAGTCAGAGCAACCGTGATGCTATCGTAAAAGTAAGCCAGTGCACAGTGATCCCAAAAGGCTGAAAAGCCTTAGAATCAGTACTAATTCTCATGACCTTTAAAGACCGAGAAACACGTACTCAGCGCCAGGGAGTGGGACAGGACTGTTAGCAGCCTGGACTTAGGTTGGCTTGAATCACTCAAGAAACTACTCTCAGAAGTATGAGTCACTCCAGAAGATTTTAAGCAATTATTCCTGTTTTCACAGAATCATAGAATCGTTTAGGTTGGAAGGGACCTCTTGAGATCACCTAGTCTAACCTCCCTGTGCAAGCAGGGTCAACAAGACAAGATTGCCCTGGACTGTGTCCAGTCAGTTTTTTAATACCTCCACAGCCTCTCTGGGCAACCTGTACCAGTGTTTGACTACCCTCACAGGAAAAAGCATTTTATTGTGTTCAGATGGAATTTCATGTGTTTTCATTTGTGCCCATTGCCTCTTGTCCTGTCACTGGGCACCACTGAGAAGAGCCTGGCTCAATCAGGGCATCCCCTCCCATCAGGTATTTATTGATTGATAAGATTCCCCAAACCTTCTTTTCTTCTGGCTGAACTCTCCAGTCCCAGCTCTCTCTGCCTCTCCTCATATGAAAGATGCTCTAGTCCCTTGGCTATTTTCCTCTTATTGTTCATTTTAAAGTATTAGGACTTCACGGATAAGAGGCTGCATATTTTCAAAATTACAGGGTTTGGTACATAAGATCCTTTATGCTAAGCAGGTAAGCCCAGAAGATTTGTGGACTGTTCGCAGCAGTGAAAGGTCTGCACTTCAGAAACCTGCCCCTCTGCAGCAGATGAGCTGTGATCAGACTCGGCAAACTGAACTTCTCTTATAGCACAAACTTCTGTGATTTTGGAGAAAGTCCTTCATGCCAGGCTGTAAGATGGCTGCTGCTGCAACCACATTGGTAAGGAGGCGATGAAAATTGGCTTGTGACTGTGACCAAAACCACGGAGGTTGTCACAATTAAACTGGCATAGTTGTGCTTCCTGGAAATAAAGGGAGGGAAGCAGGGCTGGGGGTGAGGGTGCACTGTAGGAAGTGGTCCAGAGTTCTGTTGACAAAAACTATTTCCATAACAGAAGCACTTTGTTGGTAGGAAATGGCTTTATACTGGTTCCACAAAAATGCTTCTAAGGATACTTTGAGCATCATGCATTTAATAGAGACGTGCAATGCTGGCTCTTCCCATATACTCCCCTGCAGTTCAGCTGGCATTTCACACATTTCCAGAGCAAAGATGAAGCCTCTTTCCTGTGTCACAGACAGGCTCAGTGGCTGGCCCGGTCTGCAACCCACCGCTTAGCTGTGAGTGACTTGAGCAAGGGCTCAGGGCACAGGAGTCTACAGCTGGGCTCTGCACCTGGAGCAACACCCTAGCCAAGCTCCTGGACTAGTTCTCCAGCCCCACTCTTCAATGATCCAGTATGAATCCTGAGGACTGTTAAACAGGAGTTTTTATGGATGGCAAGAGAAGACATCCGAAAGATTTGCTCCTGCTGTTGACCAGGACTTTTCCACCCAGCATCCCACCTCTGCCTGGGTTCCCTGAGCACTTCCATTCCCCACCGTGTTCCAACAGGGAGGGCAGTGAAGGGGGTCATGTCCAGCTGCTCTAGTAAGGACAGGCAGTGACACACATGTGCTAGTAGACATACAGCACTGATACACCAGAAATTAAACGGTCCCAAGAAATCCACCCCAATGGCAAAAACTTTTATAAGGAAAAATAAAGACTTAAAGTGTGTGGAACAGTGTGATTAATTAGCATTTTTTTGCCTTGTGGATTTGTTTTAGTTTTGCATTTGTAATTACTTAAATGCAGTGTTCTTCACAACAGACATAATTCACAGGCCTTTAATGCCGTGCCTTTCAAAACAAACATGAGTCACAGCCCCTAGGTAAACTTCCTGGGCTGGCAGTGAATATCATTATTGTGTGATAGAGTGCAGCAAGCTGTTTGGCAGATTACTCAAGCTCCTAAAGCTAGCAAAATGCATTGCCATTTATTTATTATGCTCATGATAATTACAATTATCATCACTGCAGTGCCAATCTGTTTGCTGCAGAATGAAGGCCTCTTCATGATGTCTCCAAGGTTTCAATGTTAGGCCTGAGTAGTTAGCCAAATTGTGGGGCCTTGCAGGTTTTTTTTTTCCTACAAGAATGAGGACTTACTAAGAGATAAGCACAGTTTAATAACGGAAATAAAATAAAGTAAAATAGGAAGAAGAAGAAGAGGAAGAGGAAGAATATACAAAGCAAGTGATGCACAATGCAATTGCTCACTACCCGTTGACTGATGCCCAGCCTGTCCCCAGGCAGCGATTCCCCCCTTCCCAGCCAACTGCTCCCAGCTTATATATGGAGCATGACATCATATGGTATAGAATATCCTTTGGGCCAGTTTGGGTCAGCTGTCCTGGCTGTGCTCCCTCCCAGCTTCTTGTGCACCTGGCAGAGCGTGAGAAGCTGAAAAGGCCTTGACTTAGTCTAAGCACTACTTAGCAGCAGCTACAACATCAGTGTGTTACCAACATTATTCTCATCCTAAATCCAAAACACAGCACTATACCAGATACTAGGAAGAAAATTAACTCTATCCCAGCTGAAACCAGGACACTCTGCTACAAACCTCCCCTTCTGTGCAAAGTACTGTTTCAGTCTTTGCTTTGGGCACTAACCATCTTGGAACACAATATCCAAGCACAGGTTCCAGCTCAATATCATGTACACTGAACTTAAAAATTAATATATGTTTCCATTTCCCCACAAATGTGTCTTTTTGTGTATATATAAGGCTCCATGGAAATTACATAATGTCTGAGTATGTGTACAAAGTAAACATGAATCTGCCTCTGCCTTTATTTCTAGCTCGTTCCTCAGTACATCTTGGCACTAAGAAGGAGGAGTCAGAACATACTGAGACATTAGGCCAGGGAGAGTAGCGAAACCCAGATTGTGAGCAGAGGGGGTGGAAACATAGCATGTAGGCAGGTGAGAAATGTGAGATCATTTATCCAACCCTGCAGCAGTCTAAAAGAATACTTAGCCTCATATGGTGCTTTAAATCTTCAAAATCCTCAACGAACATTAGTCAAACTAATGAAATTAGTAATCTAAGGTCATATTCTCTTTATTTTCCTTTTAAAGGAATTTTTCTTCGATGATTTTGATGAGTTGCATCAATTTAAAACTCTACAAATGATTTCCCTTAACTTGCCTTGCATTTCCCTTCACATGTCTTCTGGCAGAGTATCTCCAGGTTAGCTGAGCATTGGTTCCTTGAAGGCTCTTGACATGATCAAACAGTATGTTTCCTGGTAACACATTACAATGTTAGGTGACATTTCTCAAACAAGATAGGACTAGATCTTTGGGATTCACTTCAGCTAATTGGGTTTAGAGAGTTGTCTTGTCACCGCACCTTCACTTTACTGATGCGCAAGTATGTTCGGTACAAATGCATTAATCTCTTTCCTTTTCATATACTATGAAATGTGAATTACAGCACTTAATATAAGCCACTATGCACACCTCAGTGGGAGCTGCAGATGATCATCATTAGCATAAAACCATTACAGATCATCTTACCACACTGAACCTTGGCAGTTCAAACAGGGGTCTAAAACTGAACTACAAACTGAAGTCAGCTCTTGGATTGTGCTAGTGTTGTTATTAGTCATTTGTATTGTCTTAATTATGAACCACTGGATAGTAAGATATGTGGTAGAAATAACAGATTTGGTCTCTCTTTGGACACAGACCACTAGCAGGAGTCTATCCCTGCAGAATAGTAGACTAAACTGTAGGTCGCCCTACTTCTAAACATACCAAGGAACTTTTTGATAGGCATTTGTTATTATTCTGCAGTGAGAGGGAATGTGAGGGGAGAAAAGCGAGTCCTGAACATTCACCTTGTCAAATCTCCCAAAATGATGAATGGTAAAGGTTCTTAGTAACTGACGCTTATTGCATGGCAGCAATTTAGGCAAAAATTATCAAGAGCTGAAACTGTTTATCCTTCATTTCGCTACCATGCATAATAGAGCAATTAAGATATACTATGAGCTGCTCATTGATGTTAGACATAAGACGGAGGATCACAAGAGACGGAAACTAAATCAGATTGCCAAGGAGAAGTATAAAAGAATAACATAAGCACATAAGGGTAAAGGAGAAAGCAATGAGCAGGAGACATAGAGGGTAACAAGAATCATTCCCTAAATACATAAATAGTAAGAAAGAGACTGAGAAAAACTTCGCTCACTATAAACAAGGGAAGTGTTACTCTGCTATTTAACAGGCAGAGAAAGTGACTGACAGATGATGCTGGGAAGACCACGATGGTTAATGCCCTTTTTGCATCGTCTTCCCTAGAAAAATGTACCTTGTAAACTACCCTGTTACTATTAGTAACAAAAGTACGTAATAAAAGAGAGAACCAAGGATCCTTCCCTTATGAAGGAAAGAAGACAGTAATTGGCTTGGCATGATGGGCTTCATCCTAGGATTTCTACAGAACTGTCACAAGTAACGTCAAAAGCACTAGCAGTCATCTCTCAGGACAGGAGGCGGGCAGCTGTGGTGGCAGTAGAAGACATGCACTGTTTTGCACCATTGCAATCATTAAAAAGGGAAAAACAGAAAAAGCAGGGAACTGCAGACTGGTCTTTGTAACCACCACCCTTATAAACATTCTGGAGCAAATGAACATACTCACAAGCTTCCAAAAGGTTTTTACTTCACATCAGTTTAATTTTTATCCATAAAAGGGTAAGGGGACTTTTGAATATAGGAGAGGCAGAAGATGTCCTCTGTTGTGACTTTAATAAGATTTTTTTTATATGGTCTGACATACCATTTACACAAGCAAGTTGTAAAACCCAGTCTAGAGAGAATTCTAGACAGTCCTGTCCAGTGTTTTCATTAATAGCTATGACCATGGAACAAGGCTAGAAGAAACTAGAGGCACATGGGCATAGAATGCAAAATTATATTTGTGAACTAGCAAAATAGGGAAAAAAAATAAAGTTCAACAGATGCAATTGCAATATCCTACACTCAACAGACTGTGCAAATACAGGATGGGGAGAAACAGGTTAGGTAACAGCTCTGCAAAGAAGAATGTAGGTGTTACAGTCAATGATAAACCGAGCATGAGTCAGCAGCGTTACATTGTTGTGAAAATGGCAAGTGTCATACTGAGATACAGAAACAGAAATAAGGCTTTTGAAACATGAATTGATCCTTCTATTCTGCTCAGCACTGACAAGAACACAGCTGCGCTGGGGCACTGCACTCCAGGAAAGTGTGGACTAGAAGAAAAGAGTCCAGAGGGGAGGAAACACTGGTGTCTTTCTTACCAGAAAGAACGGGTATATTCAGCTGAAAGTAAGGAATAAAATGTACAGAGTAACCATCTTCAAATAAATAGAAAGCTACCACAAAGAGGAAGGGAATAATCTGTTCTTCATGGAAAGAGTAGCTAGGAGAGAAGCTTTAATTTGCAGCAAGAAAGATTAAACTTTAGGAAAAACATTTCACTGGAAAGCCTAGTGAAGCAGTGAAGTAGATTTCTTACTGAGGCTGTCTCTCCATCACTAGAGGTCTAGTAATATGTTAGAGAAACATCTGTCAGAAATCATATAGGTCTACTTGATCCTCTTTACGGGAATGGACTAGATGACTTCTGGAGGTCCCTTTGACTCTATGGCTATCCTTCAGCTGGCACCCATGTCATTTACATTCTATAAGCTGACCACAGCAAATGAACCCTAATCTTAATGAGTGAACTTGCTCTTACAGTCACACTGCCTGTTGTACATCACTCCGCACCTCACCATCAATGTGTTTTCTGAACATGAACAAATTCTGCAGCACATGATACAGCTTCCTCCTGTAAATAAGCAACATCATTGTTGATTTTTAATTCTGAGACTTCTTCTAATCACTTCTCCTTCCATTGTTGGCAAAATTCTAGCTTGTGTTTAAATAGTCTTGTTTCAGAAAATGTATACATACTTGTCTCTTAAACAATAAATAATCCTCTGTTTAAAATGCATTCCAAACAAATGTAATATTTTATTAGTACTTTCTGTCCTTTTAAGGAACTCCACAAAGATTAAAATTTACTACTGAGTAGCTTTAATAGTAAAAAAACCAACCAAGCAAATGCTGTATGATTTCATTCCAAACAAGGATTTATCTGTAAGCAACCTATATCAATTGAACTAGAAAACCAAGTTACTTTACATCATGTGGAAGTTCTCTCACAGTACTGACTCTCCTGTTCCTGTGGGAAAACTATGAACTGAATTCTGCTCCCACCAACATTTATAACACAACTGCTATTATCAATACTTGCTTAGTATTGATGCCTTCCATCAGGGACCCTCAAATAACTGATCAAAACTGATGCTATTCTCATTTTACCAATGGGAAAATATCAGCAACCCTGCCTTCATCAAAGATTAAAGTGATTTCTCAAGGTCAAACAGGAAATCAGTGCCAAAGTCAGGAACTTTGCCCTTCAGCCCCTACACTTCTTTATGGGTCTGGCTCTAACACCGTTGGTTTGAGATGCTGTGTTTTTCTACATAACGCAGATGCCAAGTGCCCAGTTTTAGACCAAGTTCCCTTTTGTGCGTAACTATAGAATCACAACGAGCACCCCCATAGCTTTTTTTTTTTTAGAATACACTGTACAGTGTTAACCATTGATGTTTTATTGTCATTGATTTAGTAGCTGCCAGAGAGTTACAGCAGGAGATAGATTGCTGTTATTTTAGCCTATAAAAGGTCTTATGCCTCTGTCAGCAAACACTTTGGTTCCTTAAAATAAATAAGTAATCTGAAAGAAAATACACAAGCTGGAGAAATATTTTAGAAAAAACTTCTTTCTTTCTTTCTTTCTCTTTTTTTTTTTTTTTTTTTTTTTTTTTTTTAAGTGCTGTATTGACTATTTCTTTCTGGATAACAGAGCTATGTAAAGCTTTCTGTGTTTTATAGGCACCTGGAGGGTAAGCTAGGACATTCTTCATGCCCCACTGGAAATACTTGTACTGGGCATAGCTGGCAGGGTTTGGGTAGCAGAAGACTGCGGGAGTGACCTTGTGTCAGGAGGCCATGAACTGCCCTGTGCTGATCACAGCCTCATCCAGACAGCTCTGAAACATGAAAACAACCTATACCTCAAAATTTTAAGCAGTCAGAGGAGCACATTGCTCTTCTGCTCAGACATATTTAAGAAATGGTGGCAAGTGCTGGGGGCAGGAGACACAGGAGGACACCCCAAAGAAGACCTGTGAAAAGGAAGTAAAGAGACAGATTTGGAGGAACGGAAGGGGAGACGGCACATGGAAGATGCTGCTGGGAACTCGGCTGGAGATGCACTCCCGGAAGGAGGCACTCCCGGAAGGAGGCACTCCCTGCCAGAAGTTTCCCTCTGAGGGACTGCAGCCCATGGGCAACCCACACTGGGGCAGGGACACCCTGGAGAGACCATGGCTATGGGTGACCCATGCTGGAGCAGTGACACCCCAAAGAGACTGGCTGTGGGCAACTCATGCTACAGTGAGGACACCGAAGAGGGCCTGTGGCTGTGGGTGACCCACGCCAGGGTAGGGAAAACCCTCAGGGACTGCAGCCCACAGGCAACACATGCTGTGGCAGGGACAGCCCCAATGTATGGCAGCTTGCAGATAAGTCATGCCAGAGCAGGAGCATCCCCAAAGGAGCAGTGGCTTATGGAGGATCCCAGGCCAGAGCAGAGAGAAGCAAGGAGGAGTAGGGGAAAAGAGCAAGAAGCAAGTATTAGCAGAAAGAAATGATTACACACTGACCCAACCTCCTGTACTGCCCGTTGCCTGCCCAAAGGAGTCAGTGGGGAATTACTGTAGCATGCAAGGACAAGGGACATGGAGACTAGGAAGAAGGGAGGAGAGGTGCTGGACTGAAGTTTATCCTGGGGAAAGGGAGGAAAAGTGTTTCCCTAAGTGTTTGTTTAATTGTTTGTCTTTCCACCTTTTCTCACTGTCTGAAGCAGTAATTAATGGCTTAGATTAAATGGCAATAAATTAAGTGAAATTCCTTGAGTAGAGACATTTTGCCTGTGATAATACTTTGTGCTTTCTCAGTATTCTGAACAACAACTTTCCAAATACAGTCATGTAAGCAAATCCACCTTCTGTTTCCTACTTCCTATCTCAGGTTTTAAATTCAGCCCTGCTCAGCATAGGCCAGGTTTGGCCTGTGAATCCAAATTGACAACTGACATCAGAAGGACACTCGAGAGAAAATTCACCCATTCAGAGCATCAGCAAGAAATTCTATTGCGTTGCAACTAGTTTTTCCAGCTGTGTTCAAAATGACAACATGCACTTATATTCCTGTTGCTGTACCTTCAACGAATAAGAAAACTCACCAGCACTAGGAAAGTCTGCACGGTATAAGCATACACAGAGTAGGAGATTGTTATTGGTGCTTTCATGAGGCATCAACTTTGAACAGTTAGCATTTAGCCAAAAGCTAAGGACTTGGCCAACATACTTCAATTATCCAATTTGTAGAGCTATGTTTCATATATGTTTTAGATTGATTTAATTAGTGTTAATTAACATATCTTTATGTATTATGAGAGACAGCAGATACCCATAAAGATTTTTATATTGAGCCATATGGCAGCCTGCAATACACTAGCCAAAAAAGTATAACGAGGCATATAAAAAAGTCTGCTGCACAACATTCCTTGGTAATTTTGAGAAATGAATGTCAGAGTTTGCACAATAGAAGAGATACCATCCTGTTCTTGCCCTACCCAGTCTGGCAATGGAAGCTGGATCAAGCTCTGGTTAGGTTTATGGAAGATATGGACTCCATAGTACCAAGGCTGATCTGAAGGGAGTCAGTTCACATCTCTGGATTTTCCTCTTCCCCACAAAGGAGAGTAGATGGAAGTGTTTCCTTTAAGGAAACCTTCCAGCTGGAAGATATGTCCTGAACTCTTCCCTAGGATCAGGAGACAGGCAGTTCTCTCTTGATCTTTTTTGTGGAGTCTCAAAGGTTTTGCATCATTTGCTGTTAGCCAATTGTTTAAGATGGTGGCCTTGAGATCCTGCCTGGTCCTTTCCAACCCTGCCTT